AAATTAGGGACGGCTAGCGCAGATAGCCCTCGTGTAGCTTTGCGCGAAATTCCAAAAAACAAAACAAGCAAACTATACCATAAAGTTAAATAATATGACCAACTTCCTTTGTATTAGTGTAATATTAAAGATCTGGTGTCATCTGTTGATACTTCAGACTCTTTATGTGAATAACTATTATTATGTTTGGCTTTTGTTTTTCATACTTTAATCGAAATGCTACAGAAAACATTAAGTTTAGACAAAACTCAATCATGAAACCTTGTTATATTTTAAAGAGCGGTTTTCAGAATGTGATAGTCTAGACTCTAAAGTATATACTACTGGATCCGGCTCACTGAGGTATTTTATCCAGCCCTGTTTGTTTGTTTGTTTTAATCATATATTTTGGCCAAAGTAGCAAAACCAAACCGTGACCAAGCAAACTAGTCCCATAACGGTTCTGATAACTTTCTTCAAATGTTAACTCAGCTATTTATTCAAAACTATATATTAACTAAAGGTCTTTAGTAGAAAGTATGAATTAAAATTTAAATTGAGCAAATATTCTGAATCTAGTTTAGCCGATCGTATCATTTCGGCCCTCAGAATACAGTCTAGGAAGAAACTGGCCTACAAGCATAAAGAAGTTGGCTGTCCCTAAACCAGACATAATTTTTTTTTTACAGTAGACTTTAGATTAACACAATATTAGTATTATAAAATGGGATTTTGAATCAAAATTTGATTTTTTTTTAATGTGTACAATAAATGAAGTTTTGACACATAGGACTAGGACAAACATTGTAATGGACGATGTGTACGTCCAGTAAGGGGTCTTGCACAACTTTTATTTTGTTAAGAATGTAAAACTGGCCTTCTCCCCACCTTTTCCGAACTTTACAGAATCACATTTTAAACTTATTTGAAATAAACGTGTATGAGAAAGCAGGATTAGTCGTACAAAGGAACTAAAGTAAAAAACAAATCTACTTTGCTGTTTGAATTCCCTCTTTTATATACCAGATTTGTTTATATTATTGAGACACGCTTCAATTGGAAAGGTATTTTAAACTGAAAAAAAAAGGTGAAATATATTTGATATCTTTAAGTAATCAATATATTTTGAAAGAGCAAACTAAATTTTTGATTTATGTATCTAGAAACCTTATTCGTAAAAATCTTGTAAGTGAACGTTAGTAATATATATAACTATGATTGAATTATTTCCTTCTTCTTGTGGCAGAAAAATGATAATGAAATTGTTTAACCCTCTCAGTTCGGTTAGAGAGCAGAGCACGTGTCATCACATCACCTTTCGTAGACTTACATTCAAATTGATAATGAACCTCATGATTATTGACTCGTATAAACAAAGTTAGTATCAAAAAATTGATAATAACTCACATTGTTATATTATATAAGTTTTAATGTCTCAATTTGCTAGGATAATATTTAAATAAAATCTTAAACTCACCATATTTGACAATCGTGACGTAAGTTCTCCAAATTTTCTGTCTTTGATAACTTAACTACCAACCCTTATGGAAATACAAAGTCTAATGTAAATAGATAATACTATACAATGGATAGTCCCACGAAAAATATTATTTTCCCAGGCTTGAATATTCTTTGTTTATGAAGCTATCAATTAAAAAGTGAGATGCACTTGTCACGCCCACTTTTAACATACTCTATTTCAGAATTAGCCAATAAATAATTTTGATGCTTTACCTCATCTAATTTATATCCAACAGAAAGACAAAATTGATCTTTGAATAGTGTATAAATTCATGTTTTATTTTTCGCTATGATGTAACACACATAGCTCAGTCAGTTTGAAACTTTCTGTGGAACTGTTCAGATGGAGTATCTAATGGATTTTTTAAGGGGCATATGCCCCCTGTGGT